TCGATAACTTATGTTTTCATGTGTTTACAGTAGAGCCACACCTAAAGAAAGGAGAGTCCTGAGGCTTCGGAAAAACTGCCTGGTTTCTCTAAACCTTGCAAGATAGAACTTTTGTTTAGATCTAGTTTTGCAGGGGATACTCTGAGCTATCTATCCATGTAAAAAAGTCAATAGACTCCTATGGCAGTTTTCAGAAATCCAGCGTGGTTTTTCAGAGGTCCTTTGAAAAACCGATCTTAAGATTTTTTCTTAGAAACGATTTTGCTTATGAAAATATGCGTCTGCGTCTTGGCTATCAAACGGTGAAAACCGCAGGTCTCTATCTTGTTCCTATCAAACGTTATTCAAAATGCAACCGACTGCCTTGACTTCTGAAACGGATAATAGTAACAAGTAACTGACTTCGTTACTTCTCTAGAAAGTAACGGTTTTTCGTTACTTTCTGGTGAAGTAACGAAGTAACTAAGTTCATTACTAGTTATAAGTAAAGTAAAGATAAAGTGCCGCGTCTACTGGTGCATACCTAGGTATAAGCATTCGATGGCTTATCGATTTGGAGCCCACCGGTTCCAGATAGGTAGCGAGCCCATGAGAAAAAGTCGAAGCGATCGAGCAAAGATGCTCGAGACTTCGGAGCACTCTTTGCATCCTCGGGCGTCTCTTCGTCTGCTTGGGTCCTAAACATCTCTGTTCAACGGCGCGGGATTTTTCTCGAGGGCTCGCTATCTATCTGGAACCGGAGGGCTCGAAATCGATAACCCTCAAACATCTATATCGAGGGTCCAAAGTCTCATGTTTCGAGGGGTCGTGCCCTTGGCGGGGCTCATCGAAAGCCTATTTTCGAGTACTCGAAATACCGCTTGAATAAGTGGTGGAATATATTAACTGTTAGTCGCAGTCTATCGGAATGAAGACAGCAAGGTTTTTAAAAGAAACTTCGACATTTATTTACAAAAAACCATCATCTCGAGCAGTGAACCCGTGAGACTGGTGTAGAATTATCATGCTCAATTACATATATCCAGATCAATCCTCATCATAAAATTCGTAGAGAATGTGGTACTCAGTACATGTGAGAAGTTTGTCATGTTTTACGCGCACGTGCAAAACTTAATAGAACCAAATCACGTAAGAAAATAATGTAGCTATATGTGCGAGATAACAGGAAAAACATCCAGGTAAAGTGTTAAGAGTTTGTTCTTGAAACTGACTTTTTCTCGAAATATTATTACTATCGTTATAAATTTAGATCAAATTTCACAACTATTTTTCTAGTGACATCATTTATGTTTGATATAAATGTTATATATAATTGTAGAGTTCTATGAGCTCTCTTAAGAATGTAATAATTAACTGATTGTTTGTTCGAACATAAAACAAAAATTTTTTAGGTTTCGTTTGCTCACTATGGTGTGAACAACTTCTAATTCTGTTAAAAAGGGATTGTTCAGTTTTAAACTTTCACTATAATTGAAACTTCATTGACATTGAAAAGCAATAGCTTATGTTAACACGCTGCTCAACTTTTGAAGAAGAATCAGTAGTTTAAGTTTATAACTGATGTTTAAGGTTTTCCCCCTGCGATACAAGCCCTTAAAAAGGTTTCTAGTGGTTTAAAACAACCGTCGAGAGCCGATAGTCTCAGGTCTACTACAGCCATTTCCCTTAATTATCAGTGTATTGTGTGAAAAAAAAAACATTTGGGTTATAATTCCTAATTTTTCTCTGGATTCTATACACCGTCATTCAAAGAAAATACACCGGTGTGATCACTGATGCATGTTTTGTTCTGATACAGAAAATGATACCTATGAGACAACCCTGTCTTTGGGAGTGGTGCTGCGTTCGCATGTGTGAATTTTTTGTTTGATTTTAGAATGTCGATTAACCGGTCCAAAATTGGGTTGTGGAGAAGGTCTGTGAAAATGATGAGGGAACTACTGAAGTCCAATTCTAAATTTGCAATTTTCTTCTTAGGAGGTTGTGGTGCTTGTACCGTGTTAATCTCCCATTATGATCATACATCAGAAAAGGTCGTTCACCGTGCTATCAATGGATGTTTGGCTTCCATTTGTTGTGTAGATGGCTGTCATATAACAACTGTAGAAGGTATTAGTAGTATGAAAAATAATAGTATACATCCTATACAAGAACGTATTGCTGAATTCTACGGATCACAATGTGGTTTTTGTACACCTGGTATGGTCATGGCACTTTATGGCACATTGAATAATATTGAAAACCCGACAATGAGAGACATTGAAGATTCATTTGATGGTAATTTATGCCGCTGTACTGGTTATCGACCAATATTAGATGCTGCAAAAACATTTGCATGTGATAAAAAATCCAAGGTTAAAGAATCGAACGATTGCAACAGCAATAAAAAAGAAAATCTCAATACAGTTATAAGTACAACAGAAGATAAATTATTAAAATATGACGATACAAAATGTCCAGCATTAGAATTTCCACCACCACTATTACACCATAAACCACAATCACTACATATTAAAGGTAGTACAGTCTTCAGTAAAATTTAGAATTAGCGATAGTTAGATGATTCTTTATCTGAGTTTGCAGGAATATTTGCGCCAAACTTGCAAATTAAGTTTCGCAAAGATAAATGTACCTGAAAAAAAGGAATGAGATCGAATTTTAGATGGAACGAAATTCTTGATCAAGATCTTCACAAGATTTGAAAACTTTTCTGTAATTAACAAAATCTTTGCTAACAAATAAAGTTAGCAATCATTTTGATTTCGACATGACTCAGAGATTTGACAAAAATGTAAATATACCGACTTTGCATTTATTTACAGTTATTGCAGCACTACAATATGGAGGACTTCTGCTAAAATTCTGTTGGTCGATAGGGTAGACAAATAAATGTACTATTCTTTGAATCACCATTTTGTTTGACATTGTTCTTGCATATATAAGAATAAATACTTGCACTACAGAATATTGAAAATTTTGAAAGTGGAATTCAGACATTGTGTTTGAATGTATGGTTGCTCGTGAACTTTCAACAGCTCTGGTACTGTATGCATAGTACCGTAGAGCCTGCAGTGTGGTGATACAGTAAAAAAAATAAAAAATATAAATTAGAAAATAAAGTTTAAGATTTTTTTTCAAATTCCCAAATCTGTTAATGAAGATTCTGATTATTACGTATTAAATTAATCATTTCAGAATTCTTGAAATATCTTGACAAGATCTGTTCAAGATTTATCACGACAGATTTTAATGGGTACTTCCGCACAGGTCCGCTCAGTATTACATTAGCTAAAAGCCGGGAAGGTTTGACTATTTGCAATCGATAGTCCTACTAAAGGTGTGTAAAGACCCCTGTTGCCCCATAGAAAAATTATTCCAAACATGGTTTTTCGGCGGCCATAAGTTCTGAATTCATATATCTAGATTTTTCTCATAGGCCATATTTGCTTGAGCAGATCTTTCTAGAACTTTGACGGAAGACGTTTGACTTTATCTAATAGTATCAAGCATTCTCATACTGCTGGCTGGAAAGAGCATACAAAGTTGCATATTTTGATCCGCAAATGAGATTTTCGCCACTGACATTCGAAAAGAATCTTTGACTGGAAGACCTTATCTGCATTAGCAGATACCACTGGTTTTACGGCGTGTTGGACGAGCTCAAAACATAACTTTATTTATATTCAAATGAAAGCGGCTTTCAAGTTTGGTCGTTTGACGCAACAATGAAGTCTCTAACACTTTTTACTTCTTCATGGTGAGTGAAGCCGGGGAACCTACTTTGGCTCTTCCTGGCCTCCTCCCTCGAAAACTACACATCAGTTCTTCGAGATCTTCATACTCCACACACTACTCGACTAGTGCTATAAAAGGCGCAAGATATTGACTTTGGCCAGGTGGTTTTTCTTGTGGCGGTTTTCTAGAAATCCCGCCAAAATCCTCGATTGCTCATGAATATTGAGTCCAAACTAACCTGAAACTCGGATTCAGCATGTCACAGTATGGATAATTTAGTATTTTTTCCCGTTCCTTATCCTAGCCAGATGATAGGATTTTTACGGGATTGCTAGAACACCACCACAAGAAAAAACACCTGGCAAAGTCAATATCTTGCGCCTTTTATAGCACTACTCGAGTAGTGTGTGAAGTATGAAGATCTCGAAGAACTGATGTGTAGTTTTCGAGGGAGGAGGCTAGGAAGGGCCAAAGTAGGTTCCCCGGCGGCGGACCTGTGCGGAAGTACCCTAATACAAAACTTGTGGAAAATCTACAACATTGCCTTTCATTCAGAATCTTGACAGATTTCAATAAAGCTGCACAAGTTCTTGAAAGATCTGCTCAAGCAAATATCACCTATGAGAAAAATCTAGATACATTTCGTCTATAATCGGGCGATACACGACTAGTTGCCATCTAGATTACTAGTTGGAAAAGGGACTTTTAACTAGATGCGTTTGCATGTACATCTAGCAATAGTTAAATCGATAGTTGCAACTAGAAAAAATCTAGCAATCGCCCAATTACTAGATTTCTACTGTCGTTACACAGTAGTTGCAATCGAGTAAAAATCTAGTAATCTAGATGAATCGGGCGATACTAGATTTTTTTTTGATGCGTGAGTAGGATGAAACTTGATAAATCTTTAAAGATTTATCAAGCTCTGCATTCAAGATTTTTATCCCGGGTACAACGGGTCGATATAGATGAAGTACGATATTTGCGTACATTTAATTGAGACACTTCCATCAATTCGAAGACGCATTTTATGTATCTCAATGTGAAGCATGTGATTTTCATTCAACTATTTTGTTTTACTACAGCAAAGCTATATAAATAACATCCTTTTCCAAATCCAATTTTGTCATTTTTCTCATCACACAGGTACTGCTGGATCCTGTTCGGAAATCATCGATGACTTTTAGATCAAATGATTGTAATCTTATTAATATAAATCTTAAGTATATGTTTGTAATGAATGTCCTACTAACTATAATTTTTCCAACTTTTATCCCACAATCATTTTTATACGGCAAATTGTAGCTATATATGGGAGTTAGTCAGCAGCTTGGTCAGTTGACTGTGCTATCGAAAGGAAGTTCCATCACGGTTCTTTTTTTGCATTTTGTTTCTCACATGATTTACAAAGGGTGAGACGCCCAGCTGGTAGTACTATGATTACAAACATATACTTAGGATTCATACTAACAAAATTACAACCATTTGGTCTAAAAGTCTTCTGTTATTGTGTATAGAATCGAATTGTGACTACTTTTATGAATAATTTGTACTGAGTATCAAAAGTTTGGGAAGAGCAGCGAGGATGGAGCCAGATGGTGTTCAGATCTTCAGAATTTGTTAGGATTATTTAAGTTTAGAACCCGTCATGCGAAATATACAACTAAGTTATTTATATTAAAAAAGAATCATTCCTTCATGTAAAATAGCTGACGAGAGAACCTCCCCAGATGTAACACTGTTTCCAATGATTTATGTGCCGAGCGATAGAGGATAATGAGTTAGTAAAAGACCGAAAACTTGGGTTTATGCCACTTCTTTCAAAAATATGAACTTTTTTTGTTTGTCTTTGGAAGGGAACCTACTAATACTAAAAATTCCGTAACAAAGCAGTGCGTTACGAGCTGAATTTTTTATTCCGTAGATTCACTAGATATCTGTTATTACTGCAGAAAGTTTCAGCCTTCTAACTCTAGTACTTGCTAAGTTATCAAACTTTTGAAGAGACAAAGGTGGCAAGAATAAAGGACTGTGATTTTTATAGAAGCAGAAGAGAAATGACATTGAATTTTGCAATGCAAGCAAGGAAACCGTTGCTTCCTTCTGCCGTGTAGAGGTCTCACACCTAGAAGAATTCCTTTTTGGTTTTCAGAGAGAAACTTTCTGTGATAATAATAGCACAGTAATGGAAAAATATTTCAGCTCTTAATTTGCTGTTTTGTTATGGAATTCTTAGTATTAGTAGTTCCCATTCAAAGGCAAACAAAAAAGTTTATATCTTTGAAAAGTACCATAAGTCTAAATCCTTCTAGGACTTTTAGTAGCTCACTGTCCTCTACCGATCAGCACATAAACCATTGTAAACATAGTGTTACGTCTATGGGAGGTTCCATCATGAGAAAACCTAGCGGAAGGAATGATATAATGAGAATATTGAATCCATATGTTTGATTTTCTAGGTGAATCTGTTGAATGGTATCGTCCAACAACATTAACTGAACTTCTCTCATTAAAAAATGAGTATTCAACAGCAAAAATAGTTTCAGGGAATACAATGGTGCAAATTGAACGAAAATTTAAAAATAAAAATTATCCCATTCTCATTGGCGTTGCGCATATTCAAGAATTAAATGTTATAGACAAATTAGAAAATGGTATTATCGTTGGTGCTGGTGTAACAATGACAAAATTAACAGAATATTTGGAATTACGATTAAAGACATTACCAGAACATCAAATGAGTACATATCATACACTATTGAATCTACTACATTCTTTTGGTTCGCAACAAATTCGAAATGTGGCTACTATTGGTGGTAATATTATTCATGGATCGCCAATATCCAGTTTAAATCCAGTTTTACAGGCATGCGATGCTAAAGTAAAATTAATTAAATGTGGGAGTACTGAGCAACGTGAAGTAACACTAAGAAAATTTTTCTTGCCGGATAGAAAAGTTGATGCTGAACAGGATGAAATTTTATTATCAGTTTATATTCCATTCACAGAAAAATATGAGTATTTACAATGGTACAAACAATCGAAAAGGCGGAAATTTGATGTCCCCATTATTTGTTGTGGTTTTCAAGTTAAATTAGAACAAATTCAATCTCAAATAAATGGTTGTGTTCAAGAAATGAAATGGAAAATTCAGTCAGCGTGTTTTTCATTTGGCAGTATGGCATCGTCCACAATTATGGCGAGCAAGACAAAAGACTATCTCAAGGATAAACCATGGTGTAAACAAACAATGAATGATGCTTTAAAATCCCTGTTAGATGAATTACCATTGGATGAATTCGCACAAGGCGGACAACCAGAATATCGGTAAGGAAACTGAGTTTTCGACATTTGATGAATGATGGAAATGTTTGAAAGTTCTAAAAGATCAGTTAAGTGTAGCTTATAATTGATATGTTTAATAGAATGTGTTCCCGATGGTTGAGGTTGATGTAATAGTTTGCTTATAGGCTTTTTTCATCTATCAAACGTGTGCTGCAATAAATTATATATTTTGAAGAAATCTACAGACAGTTTTGCATCTAATAACCCATATAAAATTTCAACCGACTGAGATCGATGATCCACAGCAGAGATACATACGACTCTTTTCTTATTTGGAAAAAGAACCTGTTTGTCTCGAAAATTTACCAAAAAAGGTTGTGCACAAAGTCACATTCTACAAATTTTCATCCCTATTACCACTATCTATTTCAAAATAGAATGACTTTGCATACTACTGAGGGATTCGAGAAATAAAAAGAGTTGATTGAGCGGGGTCAATAACCTGCATTACTAATTACTTCTAGATGGAGAAGGACATCGATCAGTGACGTCTAAGATCTTGTTCTATGAGCCACACACAGATAGTCTCACGGATGACCAGAACGCGAATTTTTCTCTGCAAAAGCAGGAAACTTGACTCTATTAGCGCTTTTCACTCTCAAGTTAACATCATCTCAATCGGACAAAAAGTTTTAGAAGGTTGAAGACTTATAGGAGTATCGTCTGACAGCTGATGCCTATTCTATATGTTAGAATTATAAGTTAAAGATGAGCCGAACTAGCAGAACAACTAGCTAAATAGACTATTGCAAAGGAGTATAAGTTAAAAAAGTTTTGTTTACTCAAGTTTTTCAAATTAAAAGGATTAATTTGTTTCAAGTAAATGGGATTTCTTGAACTAATCTAAAGAATGCTCTTTATTCATGACAGTCTTTACAATCTTGACTAACGAAACAGTGTTCAACTGAATATGTAGCAGACCGAATACTTCGTCACAAAAGTCGATGATGCTATTATAAGTAACGTATAGTGGAAAACTGCAGCAGCAAAAGTTTATATAATAATCATAATCCAGACAAATGACTGTTTTTGTTTAACAGGACAAGTTCTTGAAGGCTAAGTTAGTAAGTTTTTCTCTAGATTGAAAGCGAACCGATAAAAGAAAGCTCAAATCGAAGAATATGATGTGGAAAAGCTTGTACAGGCTTGGTTTGAAAAAAATTTTGAAGTGTCACTTACAGTTTAAGGTAATTGCAGCAATCGACTTTGCCATTACAACGCGCCACCATTCTTGAAATAAAATATCTTCATTGTCCAGATAGAAACGAAGTTTTTAAACGAGAATTCTGTTCCGATATGACCAGAGGCATGTCTTAGGGCAACCGTCGATATTAGTTTGCTTTCAGAATAATATGATTTGAATCAAAAATAAAGCTTTTAAAACCGGATAGTATGGCGTTGATTTTAGCTCATTTTTAGATTTATTTTACAGATCTCATTTCAATATGAAATAGCTGATTTTATAAAGAATTGATTGTCCTCCTAAAACTACCATTTGGTTCCATGACAGTTGTTCCATCGAAGGAAAACTAATCTGTTTAATTTGAAAGTAAACAAAACTTATTTGACCATTAACGCAACGACTTAAATTCCTTTAAAGTAGTATCAGCTCTTATCGGTTTTACACTCTGCTTCTTCTTATGGAGTGTGACCTCTACTTATGAATCTATCCATTATAATCGTCCATTCGCTTTAGCTTTTCTGTGTGCTCGACATTGATTATTACAAAAAGTATTACAGAAGTCCTTGGAGCCATAAGGGAAAAATTTGAGTTGTTCTGGTGGGTGTAGTTGTTACATTGCTATATGTGTCTGACAATAGAGAAAAGTAGAACGGTGGAATATATGGTGGAGATGAGTAACATGTATTGATTTCTGTTTTATCATAAATTGCAGTTAAATTCATTTCTTATTTTATTGTATTTTATTAATAAATTTTATTCTGATCTTTCGAATCACCGATTCATCATCAGAGTTGAAATATTAAAATTTAACACAGTTAAAACTACACAATCAATAAGATTAAGGACATTATTCTATAAATATATATATAAATGTACGGGATAACCAGGGATACTAATCTATGTGTACCCGTACTTTTAGAGAGTAAGTCGATCTATTTTTAAGGAAAGAAAATGGTAACTAGAGCATAGCCTTATAGAACGAAAAAAATTGAGACCACATTTATTTACGTACTCATATGTACACACGGCAGAGATCGAATCGGGTCTTAGGTGGATGACCCAAACCCGACTAAATCCGAACGCTTTTGTACCCGACCCAACTCGAAGTGCTACGAAATTTTTGAAACTTGACCCGAATGAACCACTTTCTTAGCTGCCCTAATAAATTTTTCTGAAAAAAGAACATAAGCCTAAAGCTTTTGTAATAGCCTAAAATGTTTCTCTGATTTTTTGTCCAAGTGGTAGTTCATTCGAATTGTGATAGCCTGAAACAGGAAATCTTTCTCGATCGTATATTGCCATGAAGTTTAAGCATCATAATGCGACGCATATTTAAGGCGTTCGTTTTTCTGGATTTACTTATGTTTCCTTTTTTCTTTTCTTTTCTTTCTTGGCTTCAACAGTGCGATAATGTACAGTGTACATTACACAGCGTCAAAGCAGGAAGAAAAAAAACTGTTCTTCTTTTTCCGATAAAAAAGGTACATGTTGAAAAATAGATGAGTAAACCGTAATCGAAGACAATTCTCTGATTTATTTTCAAGTGGCAAGACCCAAATAAACCCGAAAATTTTTTTTTCTTTGACCCGACCCGAATCAATATTTTTTGCCTCAACCCGAACCCGATCTGACCCGAACCAATATTATTTATAATAACCCGATCCGACTCCATACGACGGGACATGACCCGATCCGATTCGGTCTGTGATACACGGAGGCCATTCGTAAGTTTGTTTGGTAATAAGCAGATCTATTTTGGTATTTTATGTATTTCACAATAATTCATCATTTTTCTTAAGTTTAGTCGAACATTAGTTAGCTCATTTTTCTTCAAATTTTATCTTTACGTAACGCAACAATTACAAAAGACGTATCCTAGCGTCGCAGTTGATAAAGTATCGTCTGATGAATTGTCAATTATCGAACCATACATTCGTGATTTATCACATGGTGAACAAGAGTTTCAATCAAAACCAATTTCTAATCATATTGTTGGCTCATCATTGGTACATAATAGTGCTTATTTACATGGTACAGGAGAAGCCAAATACACTTGTGATATACCGACACCTTCAGATGGACTTTATTCAATCCCTGTTTTAAGTACTCAGCCTTATGCAAAAATTTTGTCTATTGATAAAACAAAAGCAGAAGAAGTACCTGGTTTTAAAGCATTCATTACTCATTTGGATCTACCTGGTTGTAATTTAACAGGTGATGTTGTTAATGATGAAGAAGTATTTCCATCATCAATTGTTTATTGTGTTGGTACAATAATCGGTCTGGTTGTTGCTGATACTGAAATGCATGCACAGCAAGCAGCAAAATTAATTGATATTAAATACGAATGTTTAAAACCGTTAATATTTACAATTGATCAGGCGGTCGAACAAAAATCTTATTTGGGACGGGAACTTGCTTTACAATTTGGTAATGTAGAACAAGGCTTCCAAGAATCAGATCATACGTTAACCGGTGAATTTTACATTGGTGGACAAGAACATTTTTATTTAGAAACAAATTGTTGTTTGGCTATACCGCATGAACGAGGTGAATTGGAATTGTACGTATCAACACAAAATGCAACTGGTGTACAAGAAAAAGTAGCTGCAGTATTAGGTAAATAGATGATTTAAAAATCCATAACTGAGAGGTTCGAAAAAAAACTTCAGACGTTTTTTCTGAAATGTTACATTGTCCTGAGTTTAATTACATTATATCACCTACAAAATCCTATTATGCGTCTCAGTTTGTGCTAACATTTCTTAGGATCACTCAATTCCTTCTTTAGCAGCACTATGATCTTTTTTGAGAATGAGTTGATCCTAATAACAGCAAAGTATTTATAACTAAGCCAACTGCAGTTAATTAATAATCATAGAACCTTAACGGACTATGCTAATAGTGTGTTCTCTAAGAAATTATTCCGTATGATACTTGATAGGTTTGTAGGTTATTTCAGTACTTTTAAAGATTTTATGCCCATTTACTAAGTTTCGGGAAATTTCACCTATAAAAATGAATTGCTCAATATTAGGATCCAGGCAAGATTTTGTGTTTAATTTGGGAGACATAAGAGCCTTTCAGAGATAAATACAAAACTAATTTAGATATGTATGAAACTTGTTTAGACTCCATTTAATAATACTCATTTCATTCTCATAACACAGTAGCGACAGCTGTTCTATGATGCTTTCTTGTCTAAATATATATGGAAGCGCGTCTATCAGTCAGTTAACTAGCGCGCTTCTTGTATTTGTTGTCATTTACTTCCGACTCTAGTAATAAAAGTTAGCATTATAGTCATGCTTACTAATAGAGCATTTGTTCTCAAACTACTATCGGAGCCAAAATACAAGAGCAGTGATTATTTTTTAAATAACTCGGCACCAAATAAAGATAGAGGCTTGCGATTTTCGCCATTCGATTGCCAAGGATTGAGGCAATCTTTCTACAAGCAAAATCGATTTTTGGAAAATTTTTCGAAGCCCGGATCTCCAGCCAATCTTTGGAAAACCAGCTTGAATTTTTCGAAATTCAAATAGGAATCTATTGATTTTTTGGGGTATATACAGTCCGAAGTGTCTACAAAACCGAGTCTAAGCGATATCTTGAAAACCCATGGTTCGGGAGCTATGGACATTTTCCCTGAAGCTTTAGCACTCTTCTGCCGTCAGATTTTGGACTGTCAGAACTGAATGAAAACATAGGTTATCGACTATGCTGAATCTCGTGGCAATGTTAGTTTCCAGAACAAAATGCAAGAACCGAGTGAAAATCTGTACTAGGTGATATAACCCATTTTTGATTATTTTCATCAAAAATTAAATAATTCATAATTCAGTCAACATCCATCCAACCTCCTTCAGAATATCAGCAAATACTCTATTTTATCTGCAGCATACCGTAAAGCTCAATAAATGTTGAAAAAATCAACAGAAAATATTTTGGTTTCTAGAAAGGCTTCCTAGAAACCGTCGGAACTAAAAGAATATTTTTATTATCTCGACAGACATTATGTGTTTTTGCTGGGATTTTTGCTTTTTATTTTCACCTTTCTTTCTTCCTTACGTCCCTTTAATCATAACCCTGTTTATTAAGAAAAGATACAACAAACTTGACTTAGCGAGCAGACCAAGGTCTATGGTGCAGAGTCAACCAGACAATCTAACGAAGAACTAAGACAAAAACTAAGACCTTTCGTCCCTTTTTTAGGCAATCAATCAATGCATGCTATTTTTTCAAAACTAAGTCCAGCTTCGGCGCCGTAAGCTACACAAGTAGAACTAAAATATTTTTTGGACTTAGAAACTTTTCCTACATTTATAAGAGTTGATTGTTCGGTGCCATTCGTGCCTGAGACGAAATGTCAAATAAATATATCTGTATTGATTTAATTTACTCAATATGTATAAATATATATATATATATATATATATGTTGAGTAAATCAAACCAAAAATACAGTGCTCACAGCCTACTGGTAGGCTCTGTTTGCAGCGATAGGTTCTGTCAGAGCCAGAGTCTATCGATATCCCAACTTGTGCGTAGCGCAATTGCATTCTAGTTTATTTTTTTCTTTCCTCGATTTTTGGGCAAAATGTGCACCTCGTGATCTAGAGAACTATGAAAGCTAAAATAGTTCTGGAGATTGATAAATGCACATTTGTCTCTCAAATAAAAGTCCAGATTAGATGCCATAAGCCGCATGAGTGAAATAAAACTGTATTTATGGACTTCGAAATTTTTCACAATTCAGTTATCCGTCGCCATTTGTTCTTAAGACGAAAAATAATTAAATAATTCTTTGTTCTTTATAAATAAAACAGTAAGACATTTAAATGCTGAGTAGAGATAGATTTTTAGCTTCAATTTATTAATGATCTCTTTGTGTCTGTTAATATGGCTAGAGTTTGTCGGTATCACAACTTGTGCGCAGCACAATTGCATTCTAGTTGATTTTTTCAACATTTATTGAGCTTTACGGTATGCTGCAGATAAAATAGAGTATTTGCTGATATTCTGA